ATCATGTGTGGGATATGTTGAAGGATTTTGAGAAGTTTAAAGACGTTGATGCTGGAAGAAAAATAATTCGAAAGCAAGGCTCTTCTTATACATGATCGGAGTCTGAGACTCCTACTCTTGATTTACCTCTAGTATTGTCTCCTAACTTATCATCATTTTCACCAAATTTGAATGAGGATATTGCAGGTGATTCCACATCATCAGAACTACCTATTGGGGTGAAGTAAGAAAAAATAAAGAGAAAAATCGATGATGGTTTTTCATCTGCTATGAACATGGTCCAATCATAAAATAATCGACTTGTTGAGTTGTTGGCAAAGTCAAGTGCAAACAGGTAGCGAGATAGAGCTTTAAAACTAAAAGAATTTGAATAAGAAAATAAAATTTTATTGTCGAATTTAAATTCTATTGATGATCCAAATATTTGTGAATTTATTTGACAAAAACAAAAACATAATGGACAAAAGAAGTCAACAATTTCAATAGCCACAACCTGTAATACCCCGTACATTCAGACTAGGTGTGGATATGTTAATAGGGTATTAATTTGATATTTTAGACATGTGAAGTCCTATCGGGATGAGTATAGGTGGAAATAGTCGTTTGGAATCAAGACGGAGAGTGAGGTGCATAAGCTCCGATAAAATCGACTAAGTTTATGGAATGTCTGTCTTTAAGCCTAATTTAATGACATTGTGTTAAGTATTGGACAAAACGCAAAACATGAAAGTTGTAGCTCTTTGAAATAGCTTTCCAACTATAGATTGTGGAGCCCGAACAGATTTCTGAGTAAAATGTTATTTGCGTTTTACTAGATAATGCATAGTATATGCGCCCAGGTGCGCGCCCAGATGATCCTGTGCGCGGCCGCGGCCATGTGGTAGTGCTACTGCCCTGTTGTGCGTCCAGGTGCGCAGTTGGGCCTTCAGGTATGCGGGAGCGCACCCAGGAGGTCATTTTAAATACCTACTTTGTCCCCCATACCCCAAAACATAAAAACTTGCTCTAGAAAGGGAAGCTCTCAAGAACCTAACTCCTCAAAGGTCCCTCCACTATCCAAGGTAAGTTTTAATGATGATTCTAAGTTGATTTCAATTCTCAAATACCTTATTCACATGGGTAAATCCCTCAAATCATTAGATATTCGATTGGGGCATCATTGTTGAGAGATGAAACCCTAGAATTCAAGAGGATTGAACTTCAAAAAGGTAATGTCTCCACCCTTTAATTGATTATACCATTGGACTAATGATTATAGACTCTCTGAAGTATACGTAGTCACAACAGGAATAAAGTATGCCGACTTGGTCAATCTGTCGACAATGACCCAAACTGCATCAAACTTCCGCAAGGTCCGCGTCAACCCAACTACAAAAGTCCATAGTGATGTGTTCCCATTTCCACTTTGGTATAGTTATCTGCTGAAGTAGGCCCCCTAGCCTCTGACGCTCATATTTAACTTGATGGCAATTTAGACACCTAGCTACATACTCAACTATGTCATTTTTCATTCATCGCCACCAATAATACTTCCTCAGGTCATGATACATCTTCGTAGTGCCCGGATGAATAGAATACCGAGAACTGTGTGCCTCTCTAGGATCGTTTTCCTCAGTCCATCCATATTAGGAACGCATAGATGATCATGGAGTCACAGAACATCATCCACGCCAATAGTAACTTCCTTGGCACCACCCCGCACTGTTTCTCAAAGAACCATTAAGTGCGGATCATCATACTAGCGAGCCTTGATCTGTTAAAATAATGAAGACCGGGCCATAACACATGCAAGAACTCGGATGGGCTCTGAAATATCCAGCCTCACAAGTCTATTAGCCAAGGACTGAATATCCAAAGCTAATGGCCTCTCCTCTGCTGAAATGAAAGCCTACCCATACTCTCCGCCTTTCTACTCAAGGCATCTGCAACCATATTTGCTTTGCCCGGATGATACAGGATAGTAATAGCATAATCTTTTAGTAACTCAATCCATATGCACTGTCTCAAATTTAGGTCCCTCTGCTTGAACAAATGCTGCAAACTATGATGATCAGTGTAAACTTCACAAGACACCCCACAAAGATAATGCCTCCAAATCTTAAGAGCGTGAACAATCGCAGCCAACTCCTAATCATGCACTGGATAATGCTTCTCGTAGGGCTTCAACTGACGTGAAGCATATACAATAACTAGCCATTCCTGCATTAATATACAACCCAAGCCAACACGTGAAGCGTCACAATACACTATATACATCCCTGAATCGGAAGGCAACACTAACACTGGTGTTGTAGTCAATGCTGTCTTGAGCTTCTGAAAGCTCACCTCACAATCATCGGACAATCGGAACGGAGCACCCTTCTAGGTTAATTTGGTCAAAGGTGTTGCAATAGATGAAAAACCTTCCATGAACTGATGATAATAACCTGCTAAACCAATAAAACTCCTGATCTCAGTCGCTGAAGTGGGACGATGCCAATTCTGAACTGCCTCAATCTTTTTGGGATCAACTTTAATGCACTTTCCCGATACAATATACCCCAAAAATGCTACAGACTCCAGCCAGAACTCATATTTGGAGAACTTAGCGTATAGATTTTGTTCCTGCAGCGTATGAAGCACCACTCTCATATGCTGCTCGTGCTCTTCCTTGTTGCGCGAGTAAATCAAAATATCATCAATGAAGACAATGACAAACGAATCAATATATGGTCTGAATACCAAGTTCATCAAATCCATAAATGTTGCCGGGGCGTTAGTTAAACCGAAGGACATCACCAGAAACTCATAATGACCATACCTAGTCTAGAAAGCAGTCTTCGGAACATCCGAATCCCGAATCCTCAACTGATAGTACCCCGACCTCAAGTCAATCTTAGAGAACACCCTAGCGCCCTGTAACTGCTCAAATAGATCATCAATACGTGGCAGCAGGTACTTATTCTTAATAATGACTTTGTTTAATTATCGATAATTGATACACAGGCTCATAGTACCATCCTTCTTCTTCACAAATAATATTGGTGCACTCCAAGGCGATACACTCGGTCTGACGAACCCTTTGGCTAGTAAATCCTCAAGCTGTTCTTTCAATTCTTTCAATTCTTTTGGAGCCATGCGATACGGTAGGATAGATATAGGCTGGGTATCTGTAGCTAAATCAATACAGAAATCAATATCACGATCAGGTGACATGCCTGGAAGATCTGAAGGAAATACATCGAAGAACTCCCGAACTACAGGCACTGAATCAATAGTCGGAGTCTCTGCAGTAGTATCCCGAATATAGGCTAGATAAGCTAAACAACCCTTCTCAACCATGTGTTGAGCCTTCATAAAAGAAATAACCTGATTAGATGCACTAATAGAAGAACCCTCCCACTCCAACCTAGGTAATTCTGGAATAGCCAAGGTAACAGTCTTAGGATGGCAATCTAGGATGGCATGATATGGAGATAACCAGTCTATGCCTAGGATGATTTCAAAGTCGGTCATCTCAAGCAGTAGAAGATCCGCTCTAGTTTCATAACCATAGAATGTAACAATACAGGATCGGTAGATCTGATTCACAACAACAGAATCGCCCACAGGAGTGAACACATAAATAGGAGTACTCAAGGACTCACGAGAAATACCCAGGAAATGAGCAAATAGAGATGACACATAGGAATATGTAGATCCTGGATAAAATAATATGGAGGCATCCTTACCGCAAATAGAAATAATACCTGTAATCACGGCATCTGAGGCATCTACATCTGGTATGGCCGGAAAAGCATAAAACCGAGCTGGAGCGCTAACTGGCTGGCCTCCGCCTAGCTGACCTCCACCTCTAGGATGGCCCCTACCCACCTGTCCTCCACCTCTTGGTGGTCAGACGACTGGTGGAGCAACTGGTACGGTAATCATAGGCTGCTGACCCTGCTGCACTGGTCTACCCCAAAGCCTGGGGCCAAATTTTCGCATGTGACTGGGATCCCTGCACTCGTAACAAATCTTAGGTAAGATGAGCTGCTGACTAAGAATCTGGCCCTGGTGACCTGAATACCCACTGGAATAACCCTAAATAGCCGGTGGGCGATAAGAACTCTCTGGTATAGCACTGAAATAAGGTCGCACTGGAGGACCATGAGAAGGCGGTGGTGCTGGATATGGGGGCCTGCTGGACTGCCCTCTCACGAACTGACCTCTGCCCCCAGACGGAGCACCTCTAAACTCTCCAAAATACCTAAATCGCTTATCTCTCATGACCTACTCTTGGCTATGCTGACGCACACCCTTAATCCTCCGGGCTATCTCCACGACTAGCTCATAATAAGTACTCATCTCAACCTCTCGAGCCATAGTGGCCTGAATGCCAGTATGTAAACCCGCAACAAACCTCTGCACTCTCTCCGCCTCAGTAGGGAGTATCATAAGTACATGGCAAGATAACTCAGAGAACCTTGCCTCATAATCGGTCACTGACATTTGACCCTGCTAGAGCTGCTCAAACTGAAACCGCAACTCTTCCCTCTAGGAGGGTAGAATATACTTCTCTAAGAAAATACGGATGAACCTGTCCCAAGTCATGGAAGGAGAATCTGCTGGTCTGCCAAGAAGATAAGACTTCCACCATCTACGGTCCCTGCCCTCTAGCTGAAAAGTAGCAAAGTCTACCCTATGAGACTCCAATATCCTCATGTTATGCAGTCTGTTCCTGCACCGATCAATAAAGTCTTGGGGATCCTCGTGTCGCTCACCCCCAAAGACATGAGGATGTAGTCTAGTCCATATGTCCAATAGTTTCTGCGGATCAGCGGCTGCAGCTGGCCTGGGCTCAGGTGTAGCTGCTGCCACTGGCTGGGCTCCACCCACGGGTAGTGCACCCTGAGTCTGATATACAGCAGTTGTCTGCCCACGAGCTTGTGCGGTAGGGGTCTGTGCTCCCCCGCCCGCTTGAGATATAGCTGGGTCTGCCGGAAATAAACCAGCCTGAGTCAGAGTGTCCATAAATCGTAGCATACGACCCATGACATCCTAGAATCCCGGTGCAGATTTGAAATCCACCGGAGTTGGCTCTGCCACAGGCACCTTGCCCTGTTCCTCAATGATGGGATCCTATGCTGGACCCACTGGCAGCCTAATTGGAACAGTCCTAGGACGTCCTCGTCCCCTACCACGAGCTGGAGCCCACCCTCGGCCTCTAACAACTGGGGAAGTAGCTCTTCCCTTGTCTGGAGCCTCGTTGGAGCGCGTTCTCACCATCTGTAAGAGAATAAGAGAAAGATATTTAGTACTACATCAATCGCACGATGGAATATGAAGAAAGGTAGTTTCCTAACACCATATAGCCTCTCGAAGATAAGTACAGACGTCTCTGTACCGATCCGCAAGACTCTATTAGGTCTGCTCAAAACTTGGGAGACCTAAGTGACCCTAGTGCTCTGGTACCATGTTGTCACGACCCAATTTCACTTGTAGGTTGTGATGGCGCCCAACACTACATCTAGGCAAGCCAACTAGTAATTTAAACACATATTCAATCCTTTTAAAATCAACCGAATAATTAAGCTCTTCTTACTTGCAGGAATTTATGAAAAGATCTGGTAAATTAAAATAACCAAGAAAATAATTAAATCCAAAAATTCTACTAGTGTGTGTACCAAGACCTGGTGGCACAAGTGTATGAGTATCTAGTAGATTATACAAAAATTCAAATATTGTTTGAAATAAAATAGACAAAATAAGATTCAGGAAGAGGCACTGATTGCTGCAGAATGGCTCAAAAGGTCAACTCACCACTAAGCCACTGGATATCGTGGGTGCGCGCCGATAGGTTCAACTATAGCACCTGTCTCAGGTCCTGCACAAAAAGTGCAGCAAGTGTAGCATGAGTACATAAACAATGTGTACTCAGTAAGTATCAAGCCTAATCTCGAAGAGGTAGAGACGAGATGGTCGACTTTGACACTCACTAAGGGTCAATATTAATAAAATAAAATAAAAATAGAAATATTTAAATCAACATGATTCACAGAGTTAACAATAATTTTATTTAATCAATAGAAATAATTAAATTCCTTCAAATACAATAATTCCCAATCTATTAATTAAATTCACAAGCTGCAATTAAAATATCAAGGTATCGTGTAATTATTATTATTATTAGGCACGATTTCTGCCGAGGTCGTACGGCCCGATCCAGAGTGTCGTGTACACTGCCGAGGGACGTGCGGCGCGATCCATAGATGCATCTATACTGCTAAGGCGTTCGGCCCGCTCCACAAGAAAGGAGGACATTTTCTTATGTACCTCCGGAATGAGAGTTTATTCATTGATAGATTAATACGAGAGGATACACAATTTCTTTTAACATTTAAATAATTTATATAAAAAATTAAGTATATTAGATTTTCATCTTTTTCTATATTTCCCTAACAATTTACAATATATTTGAAATAATTTAATTAAATAACGAATATTATTTACACATATAATTCATGATTTGAGTCCTAAACTACCCGGATTTTAGCATAAATAGTAGCTACATACGGACTCTCGCCACCTCGTGCGTACGTAGCCCCCACATTTAGCTACAATTATTAATTTAAAACATGTATGGGATAAATTCCCCCTCACAAGATTATACAAGAGACTTACCTTGTCTCAAAGTCCACTTTTTCGATCAAATGTCGCGTAAAACCTCAATTCGATGCCAAAAAATCCAAAACTATCCAAAAGTTATATAAAGTAATTAATGCATGTTAAATAATTCGTAATTCATCTATTAAAAAAATTACCCTATCCAAAATGGTAAAATTCTTAAAATTCACCTCGGCCCACGTGCCCGGACTCCGGAAATTTTCGGAGAAAAACGTTACCCATAATCTCAAGAACTCAAATATATAATTTCTATCCAATTCCATAACCATTTTTATGGTTAAAATCTCATTTTTATAAATAAAAAAAAAACTAGGTTTTTCATCTAAACCCTTGATTTTCAAGATTTACCAGTTATAATTTATTCATAATCTATCTATTTAACTCAAGGTGTGTAGAATTAACTTAGCTTCCAATTGCTAGTTGAAATCCCCTCTCAAAAAGCTCTGAAATCGCCCAAACATAGAAGAAAATGGGCTCAAAATGACTGAGCCCCGATTTTTAATCCATTTTGCCCAGCAATGGTTTCGCACATGCGGAAGGTGTACCGCACCTACAGAAAAGACTCGCAGGTGTGAGTTTTTCCTCGCCTGCCAAGCCTCGCATCTACGCACATTTCTCACGCTTGCGCATTCGCAAGTGCGCCCAAAATTCCTGCCATTGCACGCAGGTGCGCCCAAAATTCCGCACCTGTGATGGCAGGCCTCCCCTTCTCTTTTTGTTTCTGCGAATAAAGCTCGCATCTGCGAGGGTCACACCTACGACTGTCCAAGTGCAGGTGCGAACGTACCAGAAGCAGAAAATTTCAGTTCTTCCTCCAAATTCCAAAATTGGTCTGAGCCTCATCTGGTTAACACTCAGGGGCCCCGCTCGAATATACCAATAAGTTTAAAATCATAAAACGGACTCGCTCGAACTCTCGGAGAGTGTAAAACAACATCAAATCTAAGAATCATACCCCAAACCAAATTGATTCAACTTAGAAATTTTAAATTCCTCACATTTACTCCGAACGCGCCGAAATATACTTATACTACTCGGAATGACACCAAATTATGTGTGCAAGTCTTAAATCACCATACGGAACTATTTCCAAACTCACAATTTCAAACGGACCTCGATTACTCCAAAACTTACTCCAAATCAAATTTAAAGAACTTTAAACCTTCAAATAGTTGATTTTCACTATCAAGCGCTAAAACGCTCCTGGGTTATCCAAAACCCGATTCGAACATACGCCCAAGTCCGAAATCATCATACGAACCTATTGGAATCGTCAAATTCTGATTCCGGGGTCGTTTTCTCAAAATATTGACCGAAGTCAAACTTGACATTTTAAAGCCAAACTAAGGAACCAATTGTTCCGATTTTAACCCGATCACTTTCAAATTCTGAACCAACTATCTCCGCAACTCATAAATTAATAAAAGCACATAGGGAGAGTTTTATTTAGGGAAATGAGGTTCTAAAATTCAATATGACCGATTGGGTCATTACAAGTAGTGAAATGTGTTTTCCTAGGTTATCCTTTTAGGAAGAAAGGTTATAAGCTTTTAGATTTGACCTCCATGAAAATTCTGTCTCAAGGGATGTAGTATTTTATGAGGATATCTTTCCTTTTCACTCTGATAGTCTAGAAACACCTATTTTTCCTATTGAAACTACTTCACTTAAAGATTTAGATCAGCTTGTTCCTATTCCTAATTATTCTTGTCCTTTTCCTACTCCTACAAATCTTTCCACCTCTTCTTCTTCTTCCCCTAGTAAATCCACTACTCCTGTTGCACCTTCATTTAATACAAACACACCTTCACCTTTTCTTCCAACTCCTGCACCAATAGCTCTAAGGAGATCCATTAGAGAACACAACCAACGACCCTATCTGGCAAATTATATATGCAATGTTGTACATTTGACTTATCTAACATCTTCTTGTTTTGCAGCTCCCATTACTCCTAATATTTTACCTTTTTCAGCTCTTTCATCTACCAATCAAAGACTTTTACATTCTATATCAAATATTATTGAACCAACCAGTTACACTCAGCAGTTGTACATCCCAGTTAGTAGGAAGCCATGATCAAGGAATTTGAAGCCTTAGAGGCCAATCAAACATGGAGAGTAGTTGAATTACCTAAGGGGAAGAAACTTCTACCTTGTAAATGGATTTATAAGGTAAAGTACAGATCTAATGGGAGTATAGAATGTTTTAAAGACAGACTTGTTATTAGAGGAGCTATTCATAGAGAAGGAATAGACTTCACCGAGACATTCTCCCTAGTGGTTAAAATGACCACGGTTAGGTGTCTTCTCACAATTGCTATGTAACAGGATTGGAAATTGTTTCAACTAGATGTCAATAACGCACTTTTACATGGGGACCTACATGAGGAAGTCTATGTGATATTTTCAGCTAGTATGATTCCACCTAGTCCTAATCATGTTTGCAGATTGAAGAAATCATTATATGGTCTAAAGAAGGCTTCACGTCAGTGGTATGCAAGGCTCACTTGTGCACTCAATTTCAAGGGTTACTCTCACTCGCTTAATTATTACTCTCTATTTTATAAGAAAACAGATTCTGGTATTAATATTGTCGCAGTATATGTCGATGATATTCTTCTCATAAGGGATGATCCTATTGAACAAAACTCTCTCAAGTCTTTTCTTAACTCGAAATTCAGAATTAAAGATCTTGGTGAAGTAAATTATTTTCTTGGACTTGAAATTATCAGAGAAAAAGGTGAAATGATTGTAAGCCAGAAAAAGTTTACCTTAAAGCTCTTATCTGAATTTGAATGCTTTGATTTACGGTCGGCTTCTTCTCCACTCGATCCATCCTCAAAGCTTAGGGGAGATGTTGGTGAGCTTCTACCAGATCCAACTGTATATCACTGGTTACTAGGAAAGCTTAATTTTTTAACTAATACTCGGCCAAATCTTTCATTTGCCGTTCAACACCTCAGTCAGTAGATGTAGAGTCCCCGCGGACCTCATTTCGGTGCAGCCATTCATTCTCTCCGATATCTACTTTCTACTCCTGATATAGGACTCTTCCTGAACTCGGATCCTTCACTAAAATTATTGGCATTTTGTGACTCCGACTGGGCTACTTGCCCCGATTCACGCCGGTCAGTTAGTGGGTTCTACATCAGTCTCGGCAGTTCTCCCATTTCTTGGAAGTCCAAGAAATAATCTTTAATATCTCTTTCATCCGCTGAGGCCGAATATCGATCTATGAGGCGTATAGTAGCTGAAATTACTTGGCGTGTTCGGCTCCTTGCAGATTTATCAATTCTCTATTACTGTCTGTTTCCCTTCATTCCGATAGCCAAGCAGCAATCTACATAGCCAAAAATCCCATTTTTCACGAAAGGACTAAGCATGTGGATTTGGACGGCCATTTTATTTGACAACAGTTCTTGGCCGGCTTAATTTTACTCACTTTTGTTCCTTCTAAATCTCAAATCGCTGATGTCTTCACTAAGCCGCTCACTGGACCTCTTCATCACTCCATTCTTCCCAAGTCGGGTTGTGCTTCCTCACCCCTCCAAATTGAGGGGAGGAGGGGTGTTGGCACCGAAAATCCTAAAGAGACCCATTTACAGAAGATGGAAGGATTGGGCTCAGAGAGAGAAGAGAAGCTTATGCTATCAGACCAAATAAATGAAATGAAGCAAAGACACAAAGAACCAATCTCTAAGCCTCTCACCCGTATGAATGCACAAACCAATCAGAGCCCTCCATCACAAAATAAGAGATTTCATCTGGGACTTACATATGTTAATTTAAGTACAGATTTTTTCCACAATAGGAAGAAACCACAGCCTTCTAGAACCAGATTAGCTGGATAATAATATTGTAAATATATTTTTCATTTATTATTCTTTCATTAGTTTGTTAGGCTTAGCTGAATGAGAGAACAACACGTGGAGAAAATTAGTTATAGAGATTCTTCTCTTTGTTGTACATAACGGGATATTGTACAAATATAAAATTCATTCAATGAAAAGGAATTTTTTTTTACATATCTTCAAATTGAAACTGTAGACTGTTGGTCTTGATCTGTTGTAAAAGTAACTAATCTTTACTATTGATATGAAGTTTGAAGTGATAGTATATAAATTCCAAAGAAGTCTTCAGGATCTATAGGATGCAGTTCTGTATGAGAGAGCATCCATGATAATTATCTTGCGAGATACTTGACAGTCATGAAAAAAACTATATAATCTTAATTGTTAAAGAGATCTTATGTGGAGCTATCTTCTTTATTTTTTCTTTCCAGATATAATCATGCAGAAATTACACTATACAAAATTCAAATTTACGGAAGAACAAAAAGATTGAAGAACAGATACTGCTCTATCCCCAAAAATAAAGGCACTCCTTCTATTAGAGGAAATAAAAAATAATTTTCTTTTCATGGTTTTTTTCAATTCTTTTTACATATAAGACATAAGTTATACTGGATTTTTGCTAATATTTTGGCAATTAAATTTGTTGCTTGTACTCATATATAAGAGGCGTTCTTTTTGGAAAAAAAAAAAGAGTAAAATACGAAGCAATCAAGGTAAAAAGAAGCATCTCTTACCTTGAATATATATTGAGAGATTGAGAAAAGTTGATGCATGTAAAGCGTAATTTATCTATCATCACTTCATAAGAGGAACGAATGGAAGTAGAAGCACATTATCAAAAAGTTCTGGAAAATGATTAAAAGTTTTTTGAATTACATTTCAGACGGGCTTTTCATATTTCCATTATTAGTTATTTGACTAAAACTGGAGCCTTTTGTTGACCGAGAAGAATTGAACCCTTAGTTGCTGTGAAGGTAGGTGTTGGTTGCAGATATTTAAACTATAAATCTCTCTTCCACTTCTGATTTAAGATAAAAGTATATATTTTTAGCCATGATCATCGCATCTTTAATGTGCAATCATTATTTTGCAATATTCTTGAAACGTTTTATTAGAAACGTTTCAGGAGAACCAATGAATGCTAATTTGAAACCATTCTTTGTCGTAATTGTCGCACCTCTTTTTTCCCACGCGATGGTATTACGAGGTTGAGTTAGAAGAGTTTTTCCAATTGAAGTGACGTTTTGAAAAGTGATAATGTATTATTTTGAGTCGCCACTTGGAATTGAATTTTGGTGTTTCAAGTCACCTTTTATTTGAATTCCTCATCAATGAAAGGTTTGACTCCTAATTTATGGTCTACGAAAACAGAAGATTGAGTAAGAAATTCTGTTGACCGAGGGGAAGGTGTAAGGCATTCCTCGAGTCCCGTGGTTCTAACACGGTCGCTTTTATTGACTAATATCCGGCTTAACAATTCTTGACTATTCTTGTATTTTATTGATTATGATTTTTCTATTATCACTTAATTAATTATTATATTTTATTAATTGTTTTGACCTAGATGCGGTATGTACACAAGAGACTTCTTTGAAATTGAATGTTAAACCAAGGTACGGAATGTACACAAGATCAAAACATAATTATTTTGAATTTAAAGGTATCAAGACACGGGAATGCGCATATGATCCTTTTATTACTTAAGCATATTAATCCAAAGTTTGGGTACGAACACATAGGCTAAATAGTTTTTTTTTTAAAAAAGAAAATCATCTCACATTCTATTTGAAAATAATCCAATGCACCAAAAGTACATTATATAATTCTAATTAAAATTAAACTCTAAAAGAAAATAATTGCGCAAATATATTCACATCAGACAAAGTATAGAAAGATAAAATTTATTACTTTAAACAAACATAAAATTAGTAACTAGGTAAACATTCAAATGCTTCGATAAATGGGCTAACAACTCAAACTCTTACTAACTGCACTGCATATTAAAGTTAGAATAATGAAAGTTATCTCATCTAATTTATTATCACAAATTAAACTCAAAATAACTTAGACAGATAACATCAAACATAAATTATCTAATAACGATAACGACTTAAAAATGTTACCCCAAAGACTCATCAGATTAAAATGGAGATGACATGATAACATACTCAAAATTAATATCTTCACCAAATTAACATTAAATATTGAGAAACTTAAAAGTTACATACTTGCTCATGGAATAATTTAAAATACTAGCAAAATGAAAAACTGACCTTTTGTAGAAATCTAACAAAGAGAAATCTGATACTCTATCGGAATATCGAACCAAGACGGAGATCACAACGGAATCACTAACCGAAAACCTCAAATTCGATCTCAAGCATCCTTTATTTCAAAACCAAGTTTACTAAGAGAGATAGTGAAGAAATCTTTTGTGAGAAAATCAGTATGTGTTCGTGTATGAAAATCTGAGTCTTCTTAATTAGACTAGAATCAATATTTTCTCCTTTCTTTGAAACAAATTCTAGCCCCCTAATCTAATGTGTATGACCAATATATATAGAAGGTGTGTGAAGAGCAATGAATGGAGGAGTGGGCAACAAGACGTGAGGGACGGGGGTGATCGTGTATGTGTGCAATGTGAGTTGAGTGACGTGAAAGGTGGGGAAGTTAGGGAGAATGAGATTAAGATGAGGTATATTAGAGAGTTAGTTGTGGATAGAAATGTATTTCTTTTAGATTTTCTGTTCTTATTCCTTTTGAAAGCAAAAGTCAAGACTAGTTAATCAAAAGTTTAAAAAAACTATTTATACTGGAATCAAATATCTCTACAAGAAACTACTCGAATAATTACCATTACTAAGGCCTACACTACTAAAAGATATGTACTTATTTTTCTTTTATAAAATAAAGCAAAATACCTAAATAATAATATTAACTAACTATTTTAGAGTATAGAAAATATTAAATATTTAGACTACAACTTAAACTGACATATATATATATATATATATATATATATATATATA